AATAGCCGCCAAAGGTTTTAGGACTTTATGGTCCATACGCAGGGCTTTTAGGCATCTTGACGCAAAAACGTTTTTGACTTTGTATACAGTGTTCGTACGCCCTAAACTTGAGTACTGTATACAAGCAGCTAACCCCTGCCTAAAAAAAGACAGTGAACTCTTGGAAAGGGTTCAGAGAACAGCAACTAGGCTGATTCCCGGAATAGCGAAGCTCCCGTATGGTACTAGACTGACCAAGCTAAACCTATTCCCGCTGTCATATAGAAGAATCAGAGGTGACTTGATTATAGTTTTCAAATTGCTAAATGACAAATTTGCACCTGATATGCCCTCATTTTTCTTGTCTTCCAAAACAGAAAATCTACGAGGACACTCCAAAAAACTTCACAAGCCCAGAACTAATTACTTGTCAGCTGCCCGCCGACTTTCCCATCGAATTATCAATGAGTGGAATTCATTACCTCAGCACGTGGTTGAGGCTCCATCAGTCGACTCTTTCAAAAGAAAGTTGGATCAGCTGAGAGACCATCATTGCCAGGACTAACACAGGCCATCAAGCCTCCTGTCATTTCCAAACTGAAACTGAAACTGAAACTGATATCAGTTTTAATTGACTCACCTAGCTAAAAGTGATCGGTCATGCATCATCAAGAGATCACAAGTGGGAACGCCGTGCTCAACATTGTAGCTGTAAATAATTCCCCAAAATCAATAGCTCATTAAGTGTTCGACATTGGATGCTGACCACGTTGTTTAAGTGGACTCGTTTAACTGAAGGCTTTCGGTCATGCATCCGTACCAGATCACGTTGCAACACGGAGTGGGACACAGCTCCTACGTTCATTATCCAGCTTATAGTAAAGGATCCTCGATATATTGGTAACGTATCAAATATATCTTTCCTACCTCTCCTCGTCTGACTTCTGTTTTCTATTCGACTGGGAACGAACGATTATAGAAGATACTACTGGTTGCTAGTTGCAAAACTAGAATATTCCGTTGTATCCTCAACATCTTCTGCAACCTCTAGCCAGATTAGATCAATCGACTCACGATATATTTATAACCTACCAAATAAATATTCGAACCCCCTCACTTCTATCCTTTGATTTCACTTGGTGGGTATGATTCATGATAGAAGGTGTTACTGGTTAAAAGGTTGTCAAACTCCGAATACTTGTGCATCTTCAATCCCTTTTCTAGTATGCTAATGTGAATGTCTGGTGTCCTCTCGAATGAGCCAATTGAAGGCGATAACACCACTGTTTCGAGTAAGAGGTTCCAAGAACTGATGGACTTGTTTGAAAACCTGTATGTTACCGGTATTTGTTCATTCTCGGCTTTTATACTTGCCCGCTATATCATCTGAGATGTTCCGATCTAGTGTGAAGAAAAAGAGAGAATTCACCTCCTTCCTTAATTAGGTTGAGAATCCAATGATGCATCCTTGTTTCTGTAATTTATGTACTAGAATAGCCTCCTAGGCTGCTTGATTGTAGATTGTGCCAACTGCATTTCATAATTTTTCTGAACTTCCCGGATTTTAGTTATACACTTATTTTGAACTGATCTGTAGCATTCCGTAGTACTTGCTGTGTCAAGGCTGATGGTGATATCCCAACATCCCTTCTTTTGTATATGTAGCATATCCCGGTTTATCATCGAATGGCCATGCTTCTATTTTGGGACTGACCAGGGTATATATGGTTGAGTTATCTGATTGTATAACTGCCTGAAATGAGCCCATGCCCCTTCTATTGATGCCCTGAGTCAACTATCCAGTTTTCAGCCGATGCTGCAAAGTTTATCGCCTTCATGTCTGCCTTCCGTATGTTAGGACTAGCCGGCACAATGTTCTTTAATAAAGCTAGTGCAATTGTGGTTTCTTAGAATTTGCAATCACATGACATTATTTATGACCCTACTCCTAAGTTTACTCAGTTTACATACACTGTCAGGCTACACTATAAGTCTTTTACCTCTATTACACCAGGAGGTTACATTAGGAGGAAGTCATCTACTACACATTATGGACTGAGGTATACTACAACTATTTCGATATCTTGTCTACATTTCAGCCTGCGACGCACCAGTTCACATGTCCTTGAGTTATGTGCCACTGTCTCGACAGCTGATATGGTTGAGGTACTTTTCGTGTACAGGATAACCCCACCCCCCTAAGGCTAGCTCCATCATCCCTACTGAATAAAAACCAGTCGAATGAATTTCAATATCAAACGCTTCTGACATCAACTATATTTCTGAAACATCAATCTCATCAGAGTTTTCTGTGTCTACGATTTTGTTTTGTAGGCTGCTAGCATTTGTATAGCACACCTTTAATTACGGTAAGAAATTTCTCGTACCACCCAGTGTGATTTGGGGATGGTTTCTACTCGAATTTTTACGATGTGAATACCCTTATGTATGATGTTATTCACCGTTCCGGTGGACCTCGGTTATTTCTACCTCCGTTGATCATCTCTTGATATAATCAACCAGGCTGAGATTCTCACGAACATATATTCCGGATACAGTCAAACTGTATGAATTTTACCGTATAAGAATTCTTTCATCAGGAGAATCAAAGGTAACTTTTAGGAGGCGGCTTTTCTATGTGCTGTAAGAATCCACTTTTTCTTCTATTCTATAAAGTTTACAGATTTTAACTTCTTCTACTGTTTCTGGAAGTTGCTCTTTTTATAAAGACTTAATGTGGCTTAGATCGTTTTCAAGTCTGACCTTTGGTTCCTATCCGGAAGATTCTCTCAACTCGACTGACCTCTATACGAGATCTGTTTTGAAAAGCTGCGAGGTTTTGTTTTCTAACCTCTTCTTATCCCTTCTGTCCGATTAGGCGTCAAACGTGGAGGTCGCACACTTCTTTCTTAATTTTCTAGGTGCTTCTTTAGGGCAATTATTGACCTTATTTTGTTTCTTGATCAAATCATATACAAAGTTCGGCTTTGATATTACATAGTCTGTTTTACGTTTATATTGCAATCTATAGCTGAAACCGTCAGATCATATATATTAGAGCCTTCTGTAACTTCTTTCATCTTTTGTGCTTTTTTCCTTGTAACCCTACCTATGTCTGTGTATTTGTCATTCACAACGTTATAGGGGTCTACGCTGAAATTTTAATCCAAATCTAATGTTAGACCTACGATAAAGCTCATTGTTTCCTCGAAATCTGGCAGCTTAACATATCCTGCTGACGGTATATAATAAGGCATTTTCTGATACACAGAAGACTGTCTATTGAAACTCACTCTATGAGAACCTGTTCTGCTCCGGAACCTAATGTTGCTATACCTTCACCAAAGAGAATACGTGAAGTAGCAGTGGGGTTTCGGGATACTGGAAGAATAAATTGCACCGGTTTTTTATATCGACAAGGTGAGGTCAAGTGAATGATGGTAATTGGATCCTGCATGCGCGTTTCGAAGACACAGCATACACCGATCGTGCAAGATTAATGTCCTAGCTAAGGGGGCCTGTTGTCTTATCTAACACAAGGTCCAAACACTGAAAGCTCCAACATGCATATTGGAGTGTGGTTTCAGGAGACCAGGAATAACATTTCGTGAACTGGAAACATGAGCATTGGTATCGGGCGTTGATAAACATAAATGAGAAGGATTAGTAGTGAAGACGGAACAACTGCTAAGGGTTGGTGGGGATTCTCATGTACGGCCAGCATTATGATTTCAGAACTTGGTCGTTGATTTTAGTTTTTCTGTTCTGCACCTGATCTGACTCCCATGGCAAGACCTAAAGGAACGTGTTTCGGCCAAGATAGCTTGGGTGAGTCGTCGTGATAGTCAAGCCTGACCAACACGTCAATGTAGTTTCTACAGTCAGTAGGCTAGAGACGTTCAAAACTCAAGTACGACTAGCTCGTACAACAGTGGTTGCACACTATTCCTCCCATTTATTTTCTCTGACACATTTCTTTGGAAACGTCATATTGGTTATATACGGTCATCAAGGTAGCCACAATACCTGGATACGATGAAGGGGCAATACACTTTGGGTATCAACCTTAATGCATGACTTTGACATATGTTGAGAGTCCACATCATTCCCAGTCGACTGAAGTAGAACCCCATCATTCACACAGATTGCCTAACTCGGTGATCGAAACACTCCTCTTATTAATATTTCCTTACGATTTTCTTAGCACTATGGGCGCTCGAACTCTGCTATACATAGATGACGATAAGATTTCGAGAGAGATATTAGATACATTATATCTTGCCTATGTCTGCGGTAAAGGACTTTGAAGGGTCTTCGTTTGCAATTTCAAGAGGCAATCTATGTGAGTCTTGACGTACAAAGACATGTCTGCTATATCGTAAGTCAGGTTGAACGAAAACATCAGTCGATTTTGGTCAAGTGGGAGCAGGTTTAACCGAACGCATCGCGTTTGTAAGTCTGCTTGTTCAGGAGTTAATATCCATATTCATTGGAGGAGATGAAGGATCCACGAATCCCTCTGGAGGTCGAAGTGTCGTTCCATAAAAGAGTTGAGCTACAGAGTATCCAACGCCAGCCTACATTGCACTGCGAATACCGAGTAACATAAATGGAGGAACGTCAGTCCACTGTGACACTTTTGCCGTTTAGAGTGAGGCTTTCAATTGCCAGTGAAATCGTTCTACCAACACATTAGCCTGTGGACGGTAGGCAGTCGTTCAGAATCGTGAGATTCTCAGGAGTGTGGCAGTACGACGAAAAAGCCCACATTCGAACTGACGCACACTGTCTGCAGTGATAGTTGAATGGCAGTTGAAGTTTGATACCCACCGTTCGATGAAGGCGCGAGCTACTGTTTCTGCAGTTATGTCGTTGATGAGTACTGCCTCTGGCCGTCGAGCGAAACGGTCTACACAAGCTAAGATATAGGGGAATCCATTTGAATCTGGTAAATGTCTTACCAAATCCAGATGAACATGGTCGAAACGAGCGTCGGGAGTTTTGAAAGAGTCCGACAGACACTTGTTGTATCTCATCACCTTGTCATAGTCAATCAATCCCTCTCACCGCTCAGACACAGATCCTAAAGAACAAATAATTCACCAATTCCGAGACGCAAAGTTTAGGATTTGGAGTTTGTTTTTATTCGCTCCTGACTCAGGTCGGTTGCTTTGACCTAGTGGATTTAAGCCGCCTGTTTCGTTTCTGGTCATGACCATGGTAAAATCAGCCATAAGGAAGGGAAGGAAAAGATTGGCTCACCAAGAGGACCCAAAAATTAAGGATGGAGTTGTTAAACTCAGAGGTTTGTTGCTTTCAAAGTCTCAATGTTTTCAGAGAAGCTGACAAGCAGACAAAAACAAAGGCTTAAGAAGCGTTTCCTGAAATCTGATGAACCTGTTGAAAATAGAGTGTCTCGAAAGGTATTTTTGTTGATGTCCTTCTTCCCATTAGGTTTTCGAGCCGTCTAACGGCCTGCTTGAAAATGACGGTGACGAACTTATGGTTGATGATTTTGGACGTCTATCAGATTTAGAAGATGAAGACATTAAGACAAATACGGATCCTGTAGAACCTGTAGATGAAAATGAAGATATGATAACCAACCTCGCTTCCGAAGATGTGGTTGAAAAGTCTGTCATGGATTCCAGTACATTGAACCAACGCATTCGAAACTGGCTCTATATCCTATCCGATTTCAAAAACAGAGCACCTGCAGACCTCAATAGGAGTTTGTGTGTTCGAACTCTGATAAGCGACTTATGTTCTCGTTATTCGTACAATCAGTTTCTTATGGTGAAACTTCTTGACTTGTTTCCAAAAGAGGTAATAAATATTGAAACTCAAATTCAGTCGCAGATCGTTGAGGTTTTAGAAGCTAATGAAGTCGACAGACCAGTGACCATACGCACAAATACCTTAAAAACCCGTCGGAGGGAATTGGCTCAAGCAAGTCCTCTTTGTTCATATAATTGGATAGGCTTTAATAAATCGTGGTGTGAACCTTGATCCTTTGGAACCGTGGAGCAAAGTTGGACTTGTTGTTTATTCATCACAAGTACCATTAGGCGCAACACCAGAGTATCTTGCCGGTCATTATATACTTCAGGGAGCTAGTTCTATGCTTCCTGTAATGGCCTTGTCTCCTCAGTTAGGCGAGCGTATCCTGGATTTGTGTGCTGCGCCGGGTGGGAAAACAACTTACATTGGCAAGTTTGGAATTTTGGTTGGTGTACTTATGAATCAAAATGTTAGGATTAGTGATGAATCTTCAGTACTATTACTTCCCCATCTCCTAAGTTTTTATTAATTTGTATTACTTGAGATGGTTACCTGAAACTATCACAGGGAATCGGTGTTTGCCGTTTTGGGTATGTTCAATTCTCGAGATAGCATTACATCACGCAAGTATCGGAAAGTATTACATGTATTTTTCGGGCTTCTACCTTTCAAATTTTGAACCCTGTGGTACTAAGGCTAGTCTCATCACACGCGAGTGATGCTTCCCATATACTAGTGATTCTACAAAACATACTTATTAATACCTGTAAGATAGATACGGATCTTTACTCTTATCCATATCAACTTCAACCTCGCCAGGCGGAGTGAGATCTTAGTTACGGAGAGGCATGATTTTTTAATATTCCTCCTATAAACTGAAGGGAGTGACAATTTAACTAATAATAGGAGTAATCAAGGGGTAACACTCAAAGTAATCTCCCTTACTACTTACAGAATTAAAGTAACCGTCGAGCCTTGAAAGATTAAACCGAAGATGCCATCTCTATAGCTTCGGGTAGTGAGTTCCGCAGCTTACTGATTCGAACTGCAGAAAAGTGTACACAAGTTTAATATGAAGCATCTTTAGGGTAGTTTGTTGGAAAACAGTTAATTGCTTGTATCTTAACTAAAAAATGTAGATGTTTGGTCACTGAACGTTTTTGTACACACTCTTTTCCATTACTCAGAAGCGAAAGCAACAATTTGAGCAAAAGATTATTAGTTTGTCATTCTTATAAACTATTCACAATCCTCAGTACTTAAACGTCAAGGTAATGAGACTTAGCATACTTGTAAAAATTGGTTTCGTTGCCCACCATTGTTGATGATCATTGCATAGACATTTTGTCAGCCTGTATTAAAGATCTCACTCACTCTAAGCTTGTGCAAGCACACAGTTCAACAAATTAGCTTGTGCTCCATTTAAAAACACCACGGGTTTTATGCTACAGCTTCGAACACAAGCTTCTAAACGCGCCACTTTTCTAAACATCTAAATACTCAACCCCATGATCGCCTGATTGTTATTGTAAATTATCCTCAACTAGAAAACTAGTTTATAAAAATTCTTTGCCTTTTTCGGAAAACCGAAGATTGCTTTTGCTTGTTGTATCAGGACTGACTTAAACTACTTTGTTACAACCGACTTGTTATTTCAGCCACTTTAAACTTTTCCTTGAAAAATTCACTATCTTGTGATGTCTTAGTGCGGCTTATTCAACTGATGTATTCAGGTGCTAGGTTTTGGATTGCCTATAACGGACTATTATGTATAAAATCTAGGTTAAACATCTGTCAATGTACACATTATTTTAATAGCTGTATATTATTTAAGCGGAGTTTCTGGAAATGAACTAAAGTAGTGAAATAAGACCATTTAACAAACTGAAGTTTATTATTTTGATAATTAACTGCTATGAATAATAACGAAAACTTATTGGCACAAGGTTTTTCCACGTTGTATTGCCTAGATTGTAGTAATTGTTATAATTATTATCTAGGAGTCTATTTTCTGTGCTATGTTATGACTGTTGTGATTAGTCTACTTTTTTTGTGTACAGCACAACTCATGAAAAATACCGGGACCATTTTTGCAAATGAAATAAACCCCAGTAGAGCCAAAGCACTGCTTGGAAATTGTCATCGTATGGGTGTAACAAATACTGTCATCTGTACAGAAAATGGGCGAAAATTCCCAAAAATAATGTCGAACTTCGACCGAGTCCTCGTAGACGCACCGTGTTCTGGAACTGGTATCATCGCCAAAGATCCTTCTGTGAAAACCACCAAGAATAATGACGAGATTCAGAAGTGTGTAGAGTTGCAGAAAAGGTTACTTGTGGCTGCTATTGATTCCTGCAAAGTAGGAGGTTACGTGGTGTATTCCACATGCTCCATATTGGTGAGTAACCTCTGACTACTAGTAAGAATATTTTCTGACAAGTTTTTGTAGAGAGTAGACTAAATCTTTTATCGTTCGATATTATGGGCATATGGGAGAGAAACGTAATGACTAATTCTGTAGTTCGTCACACAAAACGCGAGTCAGAAAACAGAAAGTTGGAGTAGCAAGTCGCTCTATAGAGTTTTCAAACTCCACTACTCTGCACAATTTCTGACTGTTGAGTCCGTAAATTAATGCATTGGTAACCAAACGAAACAAATGTCATTAGCTGGTGTTTAATAAATAAGACAGTTTAGTAAACAAACACGGTAGGTAAAGCCTCATTTCCGAAGCCTGCTTCACTCCCGTGCTTACCAGGCTGATAATCACAAGATTATTTACTTTTTTTTACTAGAACAAGTATCCTATCCAACCGAGTCTTCATTTTCTTTATCAAAGGCTAATTGGGAAAGAACGGCTGATCAAGATATATTCAAAACGTCAAATTAGAGCGTTGAAGTTTGGGGTTGTTAATGTTTTTGAAATACAAGTAGACCTACTCATAGGTCCTTTTCGGAGTAAAAAGAAGGGTTATATAAAATATATAGTAAAGGTGATCTATTGGGGAAATGTGTAGAGGGAGCAAGTAGAACTTTTAGTAGTTGGTGGTTATGACAGCCCTTTCCCCGCCTTGTTTACTTCATATTTGTGTTGAAAATGTGCAACTCGATCCAAACTACCAACTTCTTGTTACGTAACAACGATTAGTATTACTTAACCCCACATAGTTATTCGAGTGTAAAGTAAACTAGTGCATTCAATCGCAAAGGTATGGATATTTTTCGTCACACTCGATGTTTCAAATGTGAGCCATACTCAGAGCACAAACGCGCGACAGCGTAAGTTATCGCGCTAAAAAATGGATAAGAAAACCCGTCAAGATAATGTGAAAATAACTTTGCATAATTTGGTTTGAAAGCAGACAAATTTGAAGTAAGCAATACTTATGATCAAAGATGAATGCACTGAGCCATGTCACCAAATTACTGTTTGCATTGACGTTAATTAGGCACTTTTGACATATCAACACGGCCTTATTCGACAGTTAGTGATATCTTGATTTGACAACTCCCAGGAAACATTGTGCTTCGACGAAGTTGGCCAGGCATGAATAACACATGCCCTAGTCACTCCAGTTCAACTGGCCTGCTGCTCCGGCAACATCAAACAGCTTGTCCTGCTCCCCATGGCCGGTGACGACTGATCCACCAAACGAGGCGGAAGTCCGCAAGGAATTCCAACTCTTGAAACGTTATAAATCACCTGGCCCAGATGACTTACCTCCGCCTCTTTTTAAAGATGGTGGTGACTTTCTGGCTAAGGAACTGAATGCGTTGTTTGGAAAGGTTTGGGAGCAAGAAAGTGTTCCAACATCTTGGAATGAGTCAATAGTCGTCCCTATCTTTAAAAAGGGTTCACGTTGTTCCTGCAATAACTACCGGGGGATAAGTCTACTTTCGATCGCGTCCAAACTATTGGCTTCTATCATTCTTCGTAGGTTGTTTAAAACCCGAGAACGATTGACTCGCGAGGAGCAGGCTGGTTTTCGTTCTGGTCGAGGATGCATTGATCACATCTTCACCCTCCGCCAAATGTTAGAACACCGTCATACTTATCGCAGGCCAACAATCGTAGTGTTTCTTGATATCAGGGCTGCCTTCGATTCGTTGGACAGGACTGTTCTCTGGGATTGTTTATTGAAGAAGGGTGTGCCTGAGAAGTTCATTAACATCTTAAAGGCCCTGTATACGAACACCTCAGGCAGAGTGAGGGCATACAACCACCTTTCTCCCTTGTTCCATTCGAGCAGTGGGGTTAGGCAGGGTTGCCCGATCTCCCCATTCCTCTTCAACTTTGCCATCGACGACATCCTAGAAACAGCTCTGATGGATGTAAGTAATGGCGGTGTGGATATGTTGCCTGGAGAACGACTTCTCGACCTTGAGTATGCGGATGATATTGTCTTACTGTGCGATAATGCCCAAGGCATGCAATCAGCACTTAATCAGTTGGCAATCAGTGTCCGCAGGTACGGCATGTGCTTTGCACCCTCCAAGTGCAAGGTACTCCTACAAGACTGGCAGGATTCTCATCCTGTACTCACCCTGGATGGTGAGGAGATCGAAGTAGTTGAGAAGTTCGTGTATCTAGGTAGCTATATAAGTGCTGGTGGTGGCGTGAGTGATGAGATTGATGCACGTATAATGAAAGCCAGAGCGGCTTATGCCAATCTGGGCCATCTTTGGCGCCTTCGTGATGTTAGTCTGGCTGTAAAAGGTCGGATCTACAACGCGTCGGTGAGAGCAGTTTTGCTCTATGCTTGTGAAACCTGGCCTCTCCGAGTTGAGGATGTTAGACGTCTCTCTGTGTTCGACCATCGTTGTCTCCGAAGGATTGCTGACATCCAGTGGCAACACCATGTTAGTAATGCAGAGGTTCGGCATCGTGTGTTCGGGCGCAGAGACGATAATTCAATTGGTGTCACCATCTTGAAACACCGACTTCGGTGGCTTGGACATGTTTTACGAATGTCGTCCCAGAGACTTCCACGTCGTGCATTATTTGCCGACCCTGGGACTGGTTGGAAAAAGCGGAGAGGAGGTCAGTGTATGACATGGTGTCGTGGCATGAAAGAGAGCTGCAAAGGGCTAGCTTCCGTTGGTCCTTCACGACTCCCTGGTTGGGGTCCGAGAGATAGTGCAACACAGTGGCTAGAGACGTTATCGGATATGGCTCAGAATAGAAGCCAGTGGCGATCCTGCTGCAACCTTCTTTTACTTTCTACATAAAGAATGGTTCTAACTTTCCTAACTGAAAGAATCTTCTGGTTGTACATTTCAGCCCGCCTTATCTTTTCATCCTTTATCTACCTACTTTCATTATTTTGTGTGGCGCATATGTACCTGGTGCCCTTTTGTACCAATATATATGTGTTTAAATAAATAATAAAATAAGTCACTCCAGTCAGAGATTTAGTTTCGTATAGTACTTATTCATAAGGTCACTGAATGAAGCCCTTTGCAAGTTATTCTAACCCATCTAGTAAGTCACACTGTTTGACAATAACTTTTACGTAGATTTTCGAAGTACGATATATTTTCGTACGTAAACATCATGTTTATGTATAATTATGTTCCATATTTTACACTGAAAGTATTGACATTATTGCGCATATTATCTTTTTGTTTCTGTCTAACAAGGTAGAAGAAAATGAGAATGTTGTAAACTTTGCGTTAAGACGAAGAAAAGTACGTTTAGAGGAGACGAAACTGTTTGGGGAAAAGGGTTTCACTGCGTAGGTGAGTGTTCACTAAAGTATAATTATCTCCACAGATTCAAAGGCTATCAGTTCCACCCACATATGACGCGCGTTCGACGTTTTTACCCGCACAAGCACAATGTCGACGGATTTTTCGTGGCAAAAATGAAGAAAATGGCAGCGACGGTTACAAGGGAGAAGGACGTTTCTTGAAACTGGATATTTGTAGATAAAGCACCAGGAGTACCAAGTATTTGCTTTTGTTTATGAATAATAAATTTAACCTAAGCTTAGTCCTTACTTCTTCAGAACTCAGTGTATGACGGACTTCGGGTATTTTATTTATGATGTGTGCAAATATCTGATCGTAACAATATAAATTTAGGATACTTAACGATGCCGAAAACGCAGATAACTAGCCTCCTGTACTTAGTTTGATAATGGGTCGTGCCTAGCTACTCAATCCCCTGTCTCCAATTAACATACTAACCACCTGCGAAAATCCCACGTCGTTTGCACTTCCTTCTATAGGTCATCTGTCCAACTTATCATTCTATACAGTGTTTCACAGTAAATAATCTATCACACATTACACAACGCTTACATATCAGATGCCTGAGTAATACGGATTTTCTAATACCTATGCTGGATATAGTCATGTGTAGATGGACACATGTTCTTAGTAATTGCTGAGGTTTGTCTAAGCTCTGGAGGCGAAACAGTCAAACCTAAGGAGTCGTTCACAAATACAGTATACAAGCTCGTCACACTTTCGATATTCTTAAGTGGCAAATGTATTGGAAGAAAGCCAAGTAAAAAATCAGAGATTGTTAGCAAAATAAAGACATTGATGAGCAATAGTCAGAGTTGAATTTAATTACAGTCGAGGTTGTGTATGTTATAAATCCGGGAAATAAATTAATTGAAATTTATTTGGTCAAATGTAGTTACGATTGACTGCGCTTACGAAAGTCTTCGAAAAAAGCTTTTACTTCCGACTCTGTTACAATCTGAAAGACAAAAATCGGATATGAGTAAGAAACACTAAAAATAGAATGGTTATTTCATAGTAGAAAATACAACAAGCTGCTCGCCTACATCTATGTCGACCAGTTTCCATTTAACGCATAAAATAAATATTGAGTTTCAAAACCCCTAACCACAAAATTTTTTTTCGTAAGGATAACATACGTTTTGAGGAACTTACTGTTGGCGTACTGAGACAGCACTGGACTTTATACAACGGAGTTTCCACATGAGCTACACTATCCATCAGCTCATGGTTCAATACGTCACAAATAACTAAGAAGATAAAGGCTAGCATAGACCTCTTCACAATTTTCAAAACTTGCTGTAAAAAAGAACTAAATAGATAAGTGGTCTACTTACGTGGTTTTTGTCTCTCTTCTTTGTGAAAAATTCCTCCAGAGCTTCTTTTAGTCGTACAAACCCTACATTAAAAGTAAACTTCATGAGTAGTTTTGGAAAATATGCAAATGACAGTCAGTGTACTCAATTGCAGAGCTTGTTTGGTCTGTTTAAGTGGGTTCGATACCATTTATCGCTTCAGATTCAATTATCAGATTGTTGACCCCATTTAATCTTGGTTTTCTGGGCATGGATATCTACATAACAAAGCAGATATCTCTTAATTGGCTCATAGAGACCCATTTTCAGACAGATGGTTATCTTTACTTAGAATGTTGTAATGTACTAACAGGATCTAAAGGTGTTATTATCCTCCTATGCTTTATTAGTAGTTTATTTTTATTTTGGAGCAATAGTCTAGTGCTGCCATATAAACTAAGACACGAAGTAATGGATTGTTTTTTATTCAAACTTTTCTACTATATACACTGAACATCCGCAAACTCATGATAACAAAGTTGATGTAATGGAGTAATCCAACCATTTATACATAAACGAAATAACTCATGAAAATAGACTTTGAATTAAGTGATATACGTCTAGTACGAAAATCACAGGATATTTTTACAGGTCTTTTCTTAATAAATACTATTATAACATTTTAAAACATCTTTCTGATCAACCAGTATAATAACGAACCTGCCATAAGATATTTCCATGTACAATGAAGACCATGTAAGTCACTGTGACGAACTCATCCTAACTCCAACTGCTTGATTCTAGCGTAAATCTTGTTTCTCGTGATAAAGCTCGGTTGTTTTCGTTTTAAGACATACACATCAAAACACACGAAAACGTGGGGAAAACATGTTGATGCACAAGAACCAGAAAACATCATAGATGTCTCTCGAATTTCTAGTATTCAGATGTTGTGATCATAAATTGTGCAATCAAGCAAACAGGAAATATTTTTTATTTGGGAGCTTATAAACTCTCCTCTATGCTTGATCTTGCTTCTTATATGTTCAACGTATGTGAGGGTTGGGGTTACTGGTTCTGGTTAAACAATTGACTGACATTATGATGGTAAGCGTGAAATAACCTGTATTGAACGTGACAATTATTTACAAGAAATATTTGCAAAAAAATCAGTGTATCTATATAAGGTGTTATTATTTTTAATAATAATTTCAAAATTAAATATAAAGGATAAGTCACCGTTTTGACAGTTACCTGTTGCAAAATTTACTGCTACAGGATGTGGCAACTCTGCAAGAGCCTCATTTAGTGTGCGTTTTTCTTCTTCGTTGATCGATTTAGTCCTTTGTTTTCCCAGCTGCATGTAATGAGATACTGAGTCTTCAGGATCCAATAGAAATTCTACTTTAAAATGCTTGTACATTTTCTAACCCAAAAAATTGTAAAATGAAGTGCTTAGTAATTAAAGCATGTCAACGTAAAAATCTTGACTTCACTGAATCTAGAATAACAACAGAGCATAGCAACCTACACATACGTTGCTGACAAGTTTATTCAGCTTGGGCTTTAGGAAACAACGACATGCATAATATAATTTGTCCTATTCATTTACCCACCAATTCGTTCTGCTCGACTTCAAAGTGATTGTCTTCGGACATTACATAAATTAAACTTGTGTCCAATTATAACCAATGGAATTTGTTGACCATATAGTGGCCGCCCATCATTTTGAGAACGCATTAATACAGAAACTTATTACAACAAAGATGCGAATAATCCGTTTCTTGATTTTAGTGGGCATTTGGAAGTGATAAAAATAAGCAAGTATATAATATGAACATCACTATTGATGAGACACTGAGACATATATACGACACTTTTCATGATTCTAGACAAACCATAGTTGCTAGAATGAACTTCGTGCGTATTTTTTCAAGGAAAATGCGTCGACATGTGTATTATTATCGTGAAAAACTTCGTAGAGCAGAGTAAAAACATTTGAATTGAATTTACTATAATCCTTTACATTTGCTACCGAGAATTTGACGATAGCTTTCAAGAATGTGTCATGGTGTAGACCTATTATCTGGAAAGTTTAGAGATGTTAATTACATTGTTCATTTTATAATTGGAAATGCTGTGGAAGCTTACTTATTTAACTGCCCATCAGCCCTATATATGGTTTTAACGGCATCACTCAAATTCACAGTACACCTAAAACCTGAATTTGCCCCCAAATGCCCTGGTACGGCCAAGAGTGGTGAGAGTCAGCTCTCCCTCTCGAAATGCCCTCACATGACCACATGCATACAATCACTGACACGGAAGTCCTACTCACTGCCTTCACGTGGAGAGTTGTTTACGGAATTGGGAGGACGAAAAGAGAATGTTTGGCGATTTAACCAGACCCGTGGACACAGAGAGTCCACCTGGGGGAGTTGGAAAACACTAATTCCAAACCAATGGTGCACATGAGCTCCAGTATCCTAAAGGAACAAATGACGTAATAATCGATAGTTGGTCACCAGCTACCATGATACTGCATCTCTTTACGATGCTCCACCGCCTTGTGAATTAGACCCTTAGGTCAATGACTCCGGGTGTGGCCCCCAAGAAAATTACCTGCTTCAGTCTGGGCACCCGGGCAATATCATAGCCTCTACACAATTAAATGAAATTATAATTTTTTGTGTAGTGCATATAAGTCTGGTGCCCCCTTGTGCCAATGTTCATGTGGTTAAATAAATAAACAAATAAACTTGATAATAGCGAATATCTGAGGACTGTCGGGAAGTGAATCGTAACCCCCATAAAACTTAGCACAAATGTACATCATGAGTTGTGACATTTTGTGTGAGCAAAACCAGGAAATTACAACAAAGAGTAATAGTTGAGCAAGGGACACTAGGACTGTTGTCGTTCCTTTACCTTGCCGCTTTATCACTCAACCTCATGGCAAAATGTAGCTAGCCATACGCAACATGATCCAGTCATCTCATTTGGTGAATTGTTGTTTTTTGATGGGCTTTCATAGAAGAACGAAAATAATTATCTTTACATTGTTTATATTCTTACATCAGTTTTTCCTTTACGAAACTTGTGTGAGACATGAGTTTATACTCCATTTCTTTGAAAATACATATGGCTTTCCAAGAAAATTTAAACACACATATACTTTCGGTCCAGACCAGCCAGTGAGCATATATTAACAAGTAAATAAACTTTGGACTTCGAATCAATTGAGACACTCAAAATACTAGCAGTGTAAAGTATTTAATCAATAGGACTCGAGGAAAATTCGAATTTTACTGCACTACGTGTGTTAGTAATGAGGTCCGAAAAAACGACAGCCTCAAGGACCGGATGGACACCATTGGTGTTACGAGATACCGCTAACTTTATTCGTAAATATGATGTCCACTAGTCATTAAAAATTGATAAAAGCGATGTAAAGAGTTCAAACAATTTCTGGTGATTCAGAGAATGGCGATAAGCCCTGTGGAAATTGTTTACCATACATTACCAGATAGTTGGAAAGTGCGATAAACTCGAAATCAAGGAAGAACTGTCCACAAGTCTGCACTAAATTGTTGCCTGCGTGCCATTTTCCAGTTTCCCGTAGGAAACCAATTAACCCGCTAAAGATTCATCACAGCACCGCACTCAGAATGGCCCCTTATATTTTTACTAACATACTAGCGATACAAGAATAGCATGATCGAGAAACTAATTTCTCTAACCGGAACTATTCTCAAATACAGAATACATGGAGTCCAGCGTAGTTGCACTCTATAGTTAACGAGCGGATGCGCTAGACAGTAATTACGCCCACTACTTGACATTGGGAACAAAAAAGATTGGTGAATACGTTACAATCATGGCAACAAAGTCACATTATATGTAGACACTCATCATTTACCACCTGTCAAAAACTCGTTAATACTGAGGACATACTATTGTACAGATCACGTCACCACCACTGAACGTTTTCAAGTTTTTAGACGCATTCTTGATAATGAACATTGGTGTACGCATACTAGTTACCGAAACTTTAAGGCAATTTACCTTACAGTCTTCGCATCGGCAGAGGAAGCTTCTCCAATCAGAGATCCAAAACACTGATGGTACTAAATTAGGATCAAGGTTGTCCAAGCTATCAAGGGACGAACAGCGGAACTCAGGCGCGTGTTTTTTCATCTTGCTAGCCCATGGGAACAAACGACAATCGTCTTCCGGATGTGTCGTAGCTTCATTTCCAGTTTTCTTCAACTTTTTAGAATCTGGAGTATAAATAACCTCAGCCAAGCTGTTATTCTTTGTACAAGTAGCTGAATGACAAGATTGCCGAAACGTCTCCTCGGTGTCATATGCATGCATAAATAGAAACGCGTACTTTTTAATGCACATAAAACAGGTCATCTCGTTATAATCCTCGGGTGGCTGAAATCCTTTATCCATGTTGAGATGCTAATATAATTTACGAATTCAAAATCAGGTTACCTCCAAATGAAACCAGTTTTCACATATGCCACATTGAATCATCTCTTCAACACCCTAGTGAAGGGAATAATAAGATATAAAAAACTACGTCATAGTCAGGGTCTGGATACGGACGTTGGCACGTGCAGTATTGGTTAGAAAAATTGTCATTGTACTGGTTTAAATCATTTTCATCGTCCTTCTCCTTTGAAATTTAGTAATAAATTTGTGTTACCTCCCACAATAAGCAATTACAAACACCAGCAAATTTAGAGTTGCCACAGTCACATCTGAAATAGCGTTTGGTGTACAATTCAACTATGTCATGGTCAGAATGACACACAATTGCACAAGGAAAGCAAATTGCAGCTTTTATTTGGTTAATGTTTAAGCATGTATGACAAGTGTAAAGCGCCTGTCGTTTTACATATCCCTATATACCGTAGTGAATGAGTTGTTTGTTACCCTTGTAAATGTACAAGTAGATCTATCATCGATCCCACCCATGGTAATCCAGTCCTCCTCATCAATTTCCTGTAGTACATTCTCAATCTTCACCACTGTATCTTCTTCCTCACTATCACTGGGCATGTTCAACCGAGATAAGCAAAATCATATTATAGTTTCCGCTACAAAGATCCAGTCACCTTGAATATTTATAGATTTCACCAAAACTAAACAAGATCTTAAATTCACTTAGTAATGTTTGTTTGAATCTTCCCATCGATATGTTAGGACTGCAACTGGTCAGTCTCTAATTGGCATATGTGCATACTGTGCGTATTGCCTCGGTATAGCCTTGATTCACAAGCATGATAAGCAAAGATGGATAGTGGCTAGCAGTGGAATCCAGTTTGATGCGCGTTTCGTCCTATTTGGGACTCGTCAGCTGGATGTACCTGCATCTCAGAGTTGATGTTCGAGTCCCAGAGTGAACATCAACTCAGAGATGCAGGTACATCCAGCTGACGAGTCCCAAATAGGTCAGAACGCGCGTCAAACTGGATTCCACTGCTAGCCACTATCCATCTTTGCTTATTAAACAAGATCTTGTTACAAATAAATGTCTGCATCTTTTATGCCTTAATTATGATATGTGAAGGTGTGTTTTCCTAACCTGTCAAAGTATGCTACTGCGTCATTTGAAAAACGTAGTGAGTTTAATGAACTCAGTCAGTCCTTAGTAATAAGGATAGAAGGTTGGTGTTAATCCTGTGTTAATCCTGACAGTTTCTCTCCCGTTGAAGAATCAGCTTCTCTTTGAAAATTTTCACTGATGGGGCTGATACCACTTGTTCGTGTAAAGAGTTCCAGTCATTGACCACTCGATGAGAAAAGCGGGACCCCATTTTAAGTTCATTAGATCGTGGTTTGTGAACCTTCTTGGTATGACCTCGGGGATTATCAGTGCTGGAGGGAGCAAAAGGATAGGACATACTAACACACAAGTCTTAATTAAAGATACGAATTCCAATATAAGGTCACCTTGCGTCCTACGATATGACGAAGGGAAAAGGTTTAGGCGTTTTAAGCGGTAATCGTAAGGCAGTTTAGAGAGATCCTTCACTAATTTTGTTCCCACACGCTGGACACGCTCTAGTGAGTCAGTATCCTTAATCAGACATGGGCTAGCTGCTTGGACACAGTACTTCAAGCATAGTCCTACATAGGTGGGATACAAAATTCGAAACATCTCATCAAAGCCTTTGAATGGTCAGCGAAGTAATCGTAACGCACGATAACCTTTCGCAGCAGCTGCGTTACAATGAGTAGTTGTTTCTAAGTCATGATTTATTAATATCCCTAAGTCGTTATGTTCTTGAAGACGTGGAAGAGATGTACCATCAATAGTATAATGATCACTGTAACTGTGTCCGACCTGTGTGAACACACTCTAGAATTAACTTCCAAGCCCTGACTACGATCCCATCTAACTAATTCGTCAAAGTCAGCTTGGAGATGAAAATGGTCAGCCTCACTTCTTATTGTTCTCCAGATCTTGACATCATTGTCAAACCGTAATGTCGACGACTTATGCGATAGTGGTAATTCATTAACATAGAGAAAGAAAAATGGAGGGCCCCAGATGGTGCCTTGAGGTACACCACTTTTGACCGGCCTCCATTCGGATAGCGTCCCATTGACCCTAACTTTCTGTCTGCGGTTACATAGGAAGTTTCCTGTCTATTCCTGTATAACATCTGTTATTATAGTGCTCGACAGCTTCGGAATAAGACCTAAGTGTGAGGCCACGTTAAACACTTTGCTAACATCTATGAATATCACATCGATAGACAGGCAGTTATCTAGGGCTGCTATACAATCATCTCTCGCAATAGGTAAGTTATTCAGTCATGAACGCTTGTTACGAAACCCATGTTGCTCGGGGGTTAACAGATTGTACGAACCTGTGTGACTTGGTAACTTGACCGGAATTATGTTTGCAAGTAAGTTAACGACTATGCTGGTTGAGCTGACAGGCCGGTAGTTAGATACGATCCGTCTCTGACCATCCCTAAATATAGGACTGACTATAGCGTCTTTCCAATCTCTAGCGAGTTGAGGTAGTAATTGTTCTACGTTGTTTTTATTGTATCAGCATCTTCAGATCAAACTCCCAACCAGCGCTTTTAGCTTTATTAGGGCTAGTGAAACACTCCTTTACACACCAGTAACTTTGACCGTCACTAAATGGAGTTTTATTTTTTAGTACCTTTTTTCTGTTCAAATAGTTTAAGCGACTTCCGTTGAACGGGCTTATCTATCGATTTTCAATGGATTTCTGCTGTGTCCCGGTATGGACATATGTACTTTTAACCTGAAAAGGAGAAACACTAGTAAATTAAAACAAAATACATCAAACTTAAGGGTCCTTTCAAGATTGAAACCCCTTCTCTCTGTATAGTGAAGATGCCACAGGCATTTAGAGATTGACAACGCTTTTACCAGTAACACTTACTATGAATCGTACACACCAAGTGAAATCAAAACACAAAAGCGAAGAGGTTGAAAGATTTATTGGATAGGTTATCAATACATCGTGGATCGATTGATCTAATCTGGCTAGCGATTGCAGGGTATTTTGGGCAAGGCGGTCCCACTCGCAATCTGGTGCGGATGCATGACTAAGCTCCTTCAGCCTAATGAGTTCATTAAAACTTACGAGGTTAGTATCCAATGTTGAAGACTTACAAAGCTACTTATTTGGGGGAATTATTCGCCGCTATAATAGCGCAATGAACTAAAGATGTCACAAGTATTCGGAGTTTGACAACACCTTAACCAGTAACACCTTTATAATCGAAATATGCCAAGCTAGCCAAATCAAAAGTCAGGGATGAAGGATTTCAAAGGTTATCGGTATGTCGAGGAACATTTGGTCTAAGCTGGCTAGCGGTGTAGAAGTGAAACACAGGGTACCCACTCGTGATCGGACGTGGATACCTGACCAAGCGTCTTCAGCTAGGTGAGTCTACTAAAACTAACACGGTCAGCATCAAACACCAAAGACTCATAGAGCCACTGATTTTGGGGACTTATTTGCCACTACAAAACCATATTCGGACCAGAAGTGTCTATATTTAGATGTTGCAGTTTCCGATGTTAGTCATGGGCCTAACTTACGTCTAAGAAACCTGCTGAGTTGCATATGAAACCCTCATTGATGTAGAGTGTATTGAAATGTTGAAATGCCTGAAAATATGTTTCTGTTAGGAACTTTGCAGCATGTGGTAGTTATTGGCTGAGTCACTCGAATCTGATAACTGGGAAACTCCGACTTTGGCCTGACGAAGAGAGGCTGCACGACGGGAGAGACTAATCTGATTGACAACGAATTTTTTGACCTGCCTAATCCGATATCGAAGTCTTTTGTACCCTTTTGAATCAGTTTTCTATTTGTTTGAACTGACTGCATGTGTTGCCGTTCGTTCGTACTCCGACCAGTAGTACCATAAAAGCCTTAACATCAGAAAGATGCTACCTTTTTATGACTTCAGTTTGTTTGCAACTTTTAAGGATTCTTTGTGGTTCAGGTTGGTTTGTAGTTCATACAATTATGGGAAATAAGAAACCGTAGTGAGCATCCACACTAATTAAGAGCAAGCACTACAGCCGTACAGCCGTTTGAAAATCCAAGGTCTGTTGTTAGTGGAATGTTTTTCCTAAGTTTTTGTAGCTAAATGGATGGTTGTGTCGTGGTGATCACTTCTTCCCAGAGTAGCAAGGATTGAGAGGTTATCAGCGTAAGATCCAAACCTAGATTCCAATAGGTACGGATGTGGCCGAATAACGGGGGAATAGCTTTATAGACTCGTGACCCAAATCAAAATCAGAACAAAGTGTTTTGGGTAACAACGGTTCTAAATTTCATCATATATACAAATGTACAAATTTACTTAAACAAATATTACCACCCGGTTATTCAACCAACAATTGATACCAAAATATTGAATCTAAATTACAATGAATAGCGAAGTGGTAAGAAATATAGGAAAATTACCGAAAACACCAAAAGGTGAGTGTTATGCTATCATTTCTGGATAGATCAAGTAAGATTCCGTTTGAGCGGCTGTTCTATAACACAGTGTTTCGATTTCTGGGAAAGTGCTCCAAATGACAACCAAAAATGCACGATCCCAGTCAAAATCAAACCGCACAATCAAATAGCGAGCAGTCAATATGGCAGCCGCCAGAATAATAACAATTAAAACAAACTAAATAAAGTTCAGTAAGGAACATAGAGACTCAATATAAACGATAAGAAAAACAAAAAGATTAAACGTTACAGTCTTAATTAGCATCAAAAAGGTTAACAATATATACAAATAAAGAAACCACAAGGAAGAAATCACAAATGTATGCATGGAGGGATTTTCACTTTCAAAATGGATCTAACAATCACTTAGGAATTCCGCGTTTGTGTCGATGAAGTCTAAGAGTGACTATTCCCCAAAAGAGTTCCGAACTTCTCATTAACGAATCATCCTAGTTCTTCAAGGGAGTTATAGAAACGACTCACGGCAGAGTCATCGTCTAGACTGTATGTGTGTGAAGTGCTAGTCGCTCTGGGAAAACTGAACTTTCCTCAGATTAGGACAGTAGTGTGTGCTGAACGATTAGAGTGGGTTATTGTTTTTAGCATTGGAGGGTTGGTTCAGGTGTCAGCAGTGGAATTTTTGTAGATGACTTCAGACACCCTGAGGTGTTAAAGAAACTCAGTGAGCACCACGCAGATTTAACAAGGCAGATAAACTCTTGGGTGTGTAGATCACTAATGTAGGTGATCTCTTTCATTTGATTAGGATCCTATTGGAATTATGTGGGAGTGATGTGGACACCAGTTAACGTTTAAGCCACACAGTCATGGTTACTTATAAACATCCAACGAGTCTGATGATATTTATTTTGTCTGTCCGGAAAAAGTGATTCTCACATTAAAAAAGACAAACCTTGTTTCAGTGACTCAGAGTCAGTAAAATTGCAATATACCTCTATCTAGAATGCAACTGTCTACCGATACCGGTGAGTATGAAGCACATACAAATGTCCCGTTCAAATGCTTTGGGGACAAATCGAAGGCAGCAGACATT